ATTCCATGGAACACTGAAACAAGAGTGAAAGTGGCAACTGCAAAATCCAGGCAAAATTCAGACTTTCTGAAAGTGACGTTTAGTAGTCCCAGTCCTCCTCCCATTAGCCCCGAGAGCAGCCATCAACCTAACTTATGAGAGCCATTTGAAACTGTCAGCAGGTCACTTTAAAGTATGATGCTGGGGTGCATATGTATTCCAACACATCCACAAAAGCAGGCAGTCTTGGAATATAACCTTATCTTGATATTTAGATTTCAGTTGTTTCACAATACATACAGTACTTACCAAAAGAAAAACCAAACCAACCCCAAAACCCACCAATCCCCTGCCCCCTCAAAAAACCCAAAGAAAACACCCCACCCAAGCAGTCATTTTAAACAAGGAAATGACTGCAGTCTCAGTAAAATCCACTAAGCGTGTTTCTTTCAAGGCTCCACATATAGAGAACAGCCTCCTTTCAAATTCACAGAATGCTATTATCCATACAAAAGTGTATTACAAGAAGTCACAAGCGTATCTGTAAAAGGATTTTTAACACGTTTTGGTAGCTATCACTTCCTAAAGGGAATTCAAATAGCGTTATGCACCAAAATTAAGGGGTAAAAAAAAAAAAAAAGAAAACAAAGATGACATTCTTGTATTTTGTTACGGCAAAGTACAGATGTTCCTGAGCCCTACGGTTGTGATCAATTCAGTCAGTCACTACTTGGAAGCAGTGATCTGTATGAATCAAAAATGACTATGCACCACGCTCTGTCTGAAAGCAGCAGATCTCATTTTATGGCAATAGCAGCAGCAGCTACAGTCCACATAAAGACATGTACTACAAAACCCTAGTCTGTATGGAAACAAAAATATTCTATGTCTACAACAGCTGAAGACTGTGTGATTATTTCTATTTTACCCCGTTAAGGGACAGTGCTACACCTCCTGTCTCCGCATCAGACTCCATCTTAGTGCTCTGTGAAAAAAATAAGAAAAAAGATACTGCAGCTATGGTTATTTAGAGTTAAAACACTTTATTTTTTTTTTTTTCAACCAAGTTCAAACTCAAACTTGCAGCCATGAGTGCCCACTTCAATTAGTGGGTATTAACAAAACTTGTGTGAGAAGTTTTAGAGGGAAAGAATTCACAATTGTTTCAAAATGAATAGTATTAAAGAGCTAGCCCTGTGTTTTATCAAGAATTTTCATCCTCCCCTCCCTGCTCCTAACAACACATAACCACAGTATATTTAAACTAGAAGAGGAAGAAATAACATCATTAAGTGCTGAAGAATGAATGTGGGAGGAAGGAGGGAAGGAGAGAGAAAATACTTGCATTTAGTTTCATTCCAAGACATAAACCAAGCCATTTAACTAATACAGAATAAACATAATATAAGACTAACAATGCAAGCATGCTCAATCTATTCTCTCAGTGAATCTTTATCTTTAGCCTACAACAATTACTGTGTGTAGGAAGGTAGACTGAAGACAAGAATTAAACTGCACTGACTGGCTTTTACTGAGGCTATCAACACCAGCTTCGTTTTTCCTCCTCTAATACAGCATCAGTTCAACATAAACTTCCTAACACAAGAACCAATTGCTCTCATACACTAAAGAATTTGCATTGTACAAAAGCTGGAATAGCTTCACACCAGTAGCATGATTTGCATGATTCTATATTCCGGAATAGTTGACTACAAACCACCTGTTTGCCTTTGTACCACAAAACCAGGCACAAAATACAGCTGCAAATCTCCACACTGAGAGACCTTCAGTCTTCGGGAAAACTGGAAGATCTGGCAAGATGAACCGGCAAAAGCAACCACTTGCTAGTTGTAAAGTGAAAGCTTTGCACAAGATACTTTCGAGTTTCTACATAGAAAAATGTCCACTCTTTAAAGAAAAAAAAGCAAAACATCAAAAAAAAACCCCCCAAAACATCACACGACAGATCAGCACTGTAACTTCTGTCTTCAAAACTTTTCTCTTCAACGTAAATTGCATAAAGACCTGTACCTCTAAACATGCCACTTCAGATACTAGGAAATGAAAACACAAACTGCTTTGATGCAGTGGGGCCGAAGTCACTCAAAATACGGCACGAGTACTTTTTTGTCCTTTCCTGTTCTCCCATCCCTCTGCACCTCATGTTGAAACTAAAGCCTCTGATATCGATAAGGCAGTCTACAGAAGGGGAAAGTAATTTTAATTATATCTCGCAGCAGAAAACAAGTTCCTGGATGGCTGATGCTAATTTTAATTTTTATTTATTTTTTTATTATCAGCAATAATTTGTAAGCACTATTAAGTGGCCTGGAACTGCAGTACCTGCGTGATACAAGGGTGTTCCACTGCAGAGTATGCTTTACTAAGAAAGAGCTGTAACTCCTTGAAAATGGAGCTATACATAATGATTATGCCATGCTAGCTTCTTTGTACCCAGATCATTAATGGGGTAGCTTCTTCCATCTCTATTCTTCAGCACGCTACCAATAACACCTAAACTTTGATTCTTACATTAACAGATTACTGAGGTGGTGGTTTGTTTTTTTTTTACCTCTGCAGAAAGAGGCAGTTTGCCAGAAGGCTTCTTTAATTTCAATTTAGGCAATGGGTAAGTCTTAGTTCACACTTCAAATAAAAATCCTTTCAGCAAAACAGCCTCAAGTACTCTCAGGGAACACTGTTTTGAAATACATTAATTTCACATCAGGTGGTATCATAGGAACAGCAGCTTTGCAGAGGCATCCTTCATCCTCAAGTACACACATGCTTCTGCATCACGTGAGCACACAGGACAATGGGTGAATTCTGCCTAGAAACAGCATTTCCAGAAAGTACCACATCAAGATTACCGTTTATGCACATGACTGTTCACAAACTTAATTCTGAGATTCACTGAGACGACTACAGATTTCATGGAGTTACACAGCTCCAAAGACATTTTACTCATATCATCTCTGAGCAGATATATAAATACATTCTATTACAGCCAAACTGATTCCAAGTCATTTGAGAACTAAAGAGTACACAACAAGCTGAGCCTGAATGTCAGCGTGAATACTTTAAATCAGCTCTTTAAAATCATGACAGAAAACTCATTTAATAATGGAGAGACACCAGGATCCTGTTCTTACAGTCTAGTAGCTGCCTCAAAACAGTAAAAAAATTCATTTAAAATAAGGCACAGATACTAATGGCTTAATGTTTAACACTGTATTATTGATGCTGTCAAAATACAACTTTTGGCAGTTAAAAATAACAAATTATTTGATATTTCTCAAGCCAATCTTACCTTGCCACTAGAACAAAAGCACCATCCACAGTTAACAATTTGGAATTCTGCATGTGGCCACAGATTTACATTTTAAGTCCATGTATTTACATCTACAGTCAAACTGGATTTTTGAATACTAGAGTATTTCACTCAATTACAATGATTACTTCTGGTATTATCAGAAACAAATGGCCATGAGTTACTTGATTTTGTCTATTAAAAAAAAAAATAATTTTAAGTTCTGAGTTTCCATCACCTTTACAGCATTCTCCTTGAGAAATAGGCTAAGAGTATCAGCATCTGCTACCCAAATTATGAAGCTCGTTTTTGTTATCTTTACATTTAAGTGCTCAACAGCAAAGCAATACAAGAACATTGTCCTACTATAGTTCCTTTAAATTTTTAATTGACAGCAAGAACTTTTGAGAAGTAGGAAGTCTATCTTGAACTCTTCTGAGTGTGAAGTCTCTAAGGGTACGTAACAATTCCAGCAAAAAGAATTTGGCTACGTGCATATCTTGAGATTGTCCCACAGAGCTCTCAGTTTTGGGATGCCCCAGAGACTCTTCCTGGTAGCTGATTGCCCCCAGAAGCACAAAACCTTTGGTGGTTTAAAGAATATTCAAAAATAACTGAAAGCACCAAGTTCTGATGACAGATTTCTAGCTGGCCTTCAGAAGTCAGCAATAATATGTAAATTAAATACAAGATGAAACAACAGGAGGCCTAAAGCTGTTGACCACTACAAGAGTTTAAAATTATTTAATGTCTAAAGCAAAAAAACCAGTCAGGGCTATCAAAGGACTTTTCTCCCGCACGTCAGTAAAAGTGCACATGCTTAACACTAGGTCTGAAAACAACCCTTGTAAGTACTTAGTTCAAGGAAGCACACTATTTGGTGATACATGCTGCGCATGTATTTTTGTGTTTTAAGTGAACAACTGGCACTTTGTACGTTTTAATTGGAAAAGCGTGCCTCCTAATCACAATGCAACAAAAAAAAAGGCAATAGCAAGTCTAAAAATCAAAACTCTCTCAGAGCTATTAAGCTATAGCTTTTAAATTAAAATACACAGTAGCAACAGGACAGTAAAAGAGTTTATAGCTATATTTTCAATGCTATTGTTGGTATGAATTTGCCATCATTGATCAGGCTAGACCTCAATTCGTTTTGCAAAAGCTCTTTGTCAGTTTCTTAAAGGAGGTAGTATAAAAAGGGTGTGATTTGAGTAACATGGCCTCATCTGGCTGTAAACATTTCAAACAATAGACATAAATACCTACAATAAAAAGTACTGTGGAAGAGATAATTTTACAAATCGGTTTTATGAACTTGAAAAGAAAAAAAACAGTAGATACATTTAATATATTTACTTATTTGCATGTAGCTTAAATGATACAGAACAAGATTACTGTGTTAGAAATCCACATACAATATAAAAACATTTGTTAGACATAAATTCACCATTCTGCTGACATTTGCAATAACTGCTTAGCCAAGCTTTACTTCAGGCATTTATAATATTTTTGATACATGAATCTTTGTATATGTGCAATGTTTCATTAACTATACATGTGAAACCCTGATTTTTGTAGTTTTTCATCACAATCTGAACACAATAGTTATTTGCATCTTAACACATTGGCTTTTTGAAACACTAGTAATTAAGGCATCTTTGCTGTATAGTTTCTCAATAGTGCAAACAAAAACTGTCTTTAATAATTTGAATTAAAACATAGAAGTAACTGAATATTCCAAAGGTTTTTTAAACATAACTGGAAGATAGTTGTGCATTTTGGAGTTCTCTTGTGAAAGAAACATTTAAAAGCTCTTAATGCTGATTGCTTTAGTTGGTTCCTCATAACTGGTTCTGCTGTCTTCTCTTCATGACAGTTTAATTCGTCGTCTTTTATGCGATGTTGTAGTAAAATACAGTAGCATTTCAATGAATACCTAGCAACTGAGTGAATCCCAAATGCAGCAAAGGCATACAGTTTTCATAGTGCACTTTCACCTCATTGAAGTAAAAGTTGCTCCTGCTAAACATTTTTCCACTTCAATGTGAAGTAGATTGTTAGGATTTTGTTAGTGGTTTCATTAAACAGCTCGACAGTTCAGTTCTCTTCTGCCAGTATTTCTTAAAAGGCTTTCAGAAACAGTACATATTTCAGGGATACTTTAGGGGATTGTTTCACCTCATAAGCACACATAATTTCCCAATCATGTCAGTGTAGCTGTAATAAATAAGCATTTACATCCTAGAAGGAAGAAAAAAAAAAAACAAACCTGAGAAAGTGTTTGTCACGTTACTTATAGCTGCAACATCAACCACGTGTCTGAGGCAGGGTTACCAATCAGGACCATAATACAAGAACAATTACGTTTAGACCAAATTCAGAGCAACTTATCTTTAAGATTACTTTCAATGGTATTGTTATGTATTAAAAAGCCTGCAAGAACAGAAGATTACTTTCTAAAGCCATCAGTTTAGTCTGTTTTTTGCCTGCTCCCAGCACGCACAGGGAAGACCTCACAATCATAAGATCATGTATTTGAAACGAGTTTATTAAGAACGATATACCTTCACCCCATCCCTCTAACATCCTTGTGCTCTTGACTTGTTCAGGGGGCACTGGTCACAATTTATCCTGATACACATTAACAAGTGGGCAAATGAACAGAAGGGAACCTGAATGCTGGAGAAACAAACTGGCACTGGCTGCAACTGCTGTGTTGATCTACCAGAAGAACTAGGCAGTCTGTATTAAAAACTCCCATTGCTCTACCAGTTGAGAGTTAGGACTGGGTTCTTCTGCATCCCTGCTGAGGGAAACTCCGCACAAAGTTTTTAATTATCCTTGCAGACACATCAAAATTGAAATCAGAGGTGCATAGTGGTCCCAGAACAAGAAATAACTTATTTGTTTGATTTACCAAAGTGACAACTTCTATAGTCATAGAATTAGATTCCACAAAGCTCCTTCAGATGTAAGTAAAGCACGCAACTGACAAGTTCTTTTCAAGTTCACTCAAATCCTGCGCATAACCAAGTGTCTGCTTTCTCACTGTCTACCCCCACGAGGTCCCTCCCTGTGGAGAGGTTTCTTACTCAGTGTAACTCTTGTCACCCAACCTCAGAAAGCCATGTTTAGAGAGCTGAGTATGACAAACAGCATATCATGCAGTTACCAGACACCCTCATTATATCACTGATACCACAACATACCAAGAAAGGCAAACAGGGATTTATTTCAGATGGAGACATTCTTCTGCTCTCCACAAACTCATAGTTTTGTAAGCACTAGGCCAGCAATAAACTTTAGAATTTAGTGGGTCATCACTTGCCTCAATCACCTGATGCGCAAGTGCTACCAGCATTGCTGGGCTACGATTCTGCATGCTGCCCTTACGCTGGATATAGCGTGTTTCAGAGAAAACATCTGTCCTTTCAGTCTACCTACTCATCTTGGCCCTTTTTTATATCCATTTTAAGGCTTATTACTAATAACTTTTATTTAAAAGGTGCTTTTTCTGTAAAGAAGAACAAAAAGGATACAGCAAGTTCATTGTTAGTGTTCTAAACCGCACTACTACTAGCCTAGGGAATCCACTCCAGACTTCTGCAAAAACTGTGCAATATGTTTGAACATTAATAAAAGTGTTTTCATCCATCAGTAGTTTAGCATAAATAACATCAAATGAGAGGAACACTGCAAGTCGTACAACTACACTCATTACTAAACACAACTGGAACTGGATTACCTTAGCTATATTACCAGTATATCCTGGAACCAGAGTAAGATGATTCTCCTGTTCCCATAATCCACTTAATTGCTGTTTTAAAATATGAATATTTCTGAAAAAGAAGGAACAACACTTTGTAACACATACACTACATTTCAGCAGATTTTTTGATCGGAACACATAATCAATGCAACATATAGATTTAGTCTCTATGGTAGATATTGCCATAACGTCAGAAAAATTTTGATCCAACTTCTACAGCATTTTTATAACCCCAATATGACTATGTTCTACATGTATTAAAACTCCACTTAAAAAAAAGACACAGTTTCCAAACACCACCTGTGTCTTAAGAGCAGAAGAACTTCTTTTGACTACTTTTTAAAGCTTTTCCCTTCAAATTATGAGTATAATTTTTCTTTTGTGGATAAGATGTGCTCCCACTGATCAAAGTTAAAACAGTTTTTGGCAAGGAATAAGCTAGAGAAACACATTTAAATATATATACTCACCCATCCTCTGCCTTTTCTGTATGTGCAGATAGTTCTGACCACCATCTTTTAATGACAGCTTGAAGCCAGTTTAAACCAACTATCACATATCTGTAACGACATTTTACACATAATGTTTTTTTTTCCCCTCCCTCCAATATCTATAGGTCAGATTAGAGTATCAAGCAACTTAGAAAGCGACACTTTTTCTATTCTAGAAGAAAAAAGATCTAGACAAATTGGCAAGTTTAAATACTTGCCTGTATTTTCAATTTCCAAGTGGCAAACTGAAGCAGTTGTTGAAAATGCAGAAATTGTTCAGGTATTTTGCCTGAAAGCTTTGCCTTGATTTCATGTTATAAAGCATACTAAAACCTTGGTGCTATTCTGTTTTACTGTTTAGGATAAATAAATCTCCATGAGGACAAAGCAGTCTCCTGCGATCCTTAACCCTGCAGAAAAGAGTTTCTGCACCACTGGTTTGTCAAAGGAGAAAGGTTCACAAGACAGCCACCCTTCAGGCTGGTGTTCCCCGAGAAAGGCCAGGCTGGGAGAAAGGGCAGAGGGAACAAGAGCCAGAGGACTAAGCACCATTAATTTCTAGGGCACTGCATAACCAGGAAGCATCAACTTTTGAAAACTTCCAAAACCAATACTTACTCTTCATATTTGCTTTTCAGCAGTGATTTCACTAAAGGCAAAAGATCTACACAGCAGCCAACTGAAATATATGGTTTTTCTTCCTGTAAACTTAAAAAACAAGGTATTTCAGAAGTGCTTCAGCTTCTGTGTGGTTAGAGCAGATTCTAATCCCCCACTTCTTTTTGTCTGTACCTGTTTGTAAGCACAGGAAGGCAGTCTACTACTACTCCAAGATCCTGTATCCTAGAAACATTAAGAATAAAATCAGAAATGTTACTAGCAGAGCATACATTCAAGTGTATGCTTCCACTGTGATTTGAAGAATAAGTATACCAAAGTTACAACAGTTAAGAAACCCCTAAAAATACTGCAGCATGTTTGAGATTGCTACCACTTTAAAAATATGAGTTTACCTCACTAAGTAGGCTACCAGTTCACTTATACTTCTCCTTCGCCAAAAGGTTAAAGCTACGTTCAGCCTTTCTGAAAAGAACTTGAGCCATAGTTTCATGGTCCTGAGAAACCTGTATGTTTTTTAAAATATAAAAGAAGTTTACTAAAAGTTAAATAGTTAGCAACAACACAGTAAGCTGCTCTAATACAGTAATTCAGTACATGAAAAATATACTTTCCTACCTATATGCTGATGATTTTATTTTAGAAATATAGCTAACAATGGCCTTAAACCCCCAAGTTTTCCCAAGAAGAGAGCACAAATAGATTAAGACCCTTTCACTCAAAAGCTACTAGAATAAGTTCTGTAGACACCTAACAAGAGGTATCTATTAATTAAATAGAGCATTCATGAGCAAACGGTAATTCTCACTAACTTTAGAGAACTTTACTTAGATGTTTATTAATTTTGACACAATTTAGACACAAGTATTACATGTGTTATTGTGCCCTTTGACAGGAAAGGTTCATTTCTGAATGAAGTTTAGGTATTTCATTTTATTAATTAGATCTTGGATTGGAATAAACACTTCAGAGCCATCCACATTTCTCAAATCAATTAATCATCTGTGGCCAGTGATCTGGTTTTTAGTTTCTCAGGGGATGAATCTTTCTCAGTCTTCATTTCTTTACCCTGCTTTCCACAACCTCTTTATTCTGCTGCTCCTTCACTGAAACCATCGAATCTGAAGGAGTGGAAGAATGCCACAGACTTGCACCTCCAGCCCGCTAGATGCTCAGGGCTCTCTCTTCGTAGCAGCCCACACTTGAAGCACCATGAAAGGACAGCATAGTGATAGTCTTTGATCTTATCTTCCCTGCTAGGTCTCAAAATACCTGCAGGCCTCAATGGATAACAAACATTATGGAAAGAGAAATGGAAGCTTCAACACTGAAGGACTTAAATGCCCTTCCCTGTCACAAAACCTATTTCATTTCAATATCTGACCTTTTAGCCACTCTCAGAAGCCCTGCAAGCATTCACTAGGTTTCACCAAGCAACCTTCTAAGACATGCAGCATAAGACAATCTTGTAAGACATACCGTCTTTGATACAAACATCTAAATTTGTTTCATACTGACTAAGCTGATGCTGCTATTGAAGATGGTCCTCTTCTACCTCATAGACTTACTCCCATCCCTACACCAATGCTTTCACACTTTAATACGCATGTGACCACGCGTCATGCGAGATCATGAAACCTAAGCAGGTCAAAACAACATTCCCCTTTTGTACTGGTACAATGTTAACCCAGACTAGCCTGGCAAATCAGAGCTTCTGTGCTGACATAAACATGGGGAAAACTGGCAGGACTACTATGGTTGGCAACTGCATCACTGTAAGCTGACAGACAGACTTCAGAGCACAAGACTAAAGCCAATCTATATGTTAAGAAAATTAATCTCTCCAAAAATTTTCCCAGATAACCACACAGAGAAGCTACAAGAAGTACTTCTATTTTAAACTACACTTTCTTTAAAGTCTACTTACCTCTGAAAAAAATCCACTATATTTGGATGAGGAGCCTTCTGTTTGAGATGAGCCAGAGTCACTAGAATTCAGCAAGTGCGTACGACTGTCGTTGTGCAGTTTTGCTGGCAGATTCCCTGCACAAGCCAGTTCATTTTCTTTATTTGCCATGTCACAGCCCCTAGATTTAGGGAACTGTTTCTTTCTGTAACAAGGCTTAGGAGTATAACAACAAACTTTTCTTTTACAATACACTACTTTGAAAAGAGAGAGGGGACTGGTCACCGTTTTTCCAACTGTTATTCTGCAAAAATAAAGCAGTATTTTAGTGAAGGTTGCCCAACATTTAAGCAATGCTTTGTGTTATTAAGTTAAAATGTAACATTATGAATTCAGCATCCAACATGCAGGTTATGTAACACATTTTATCCCCAAGATACATCTTCATGACATTTGGGTTAAGAGAAGTAAGATCTACAACCAATACCTTCGGCCTGCTTTTATTAATACAGACTCATTCCTATTAGAAGTGCACAAAAGAACCAAGTTTGTCCGTAAAATTAAGCCCTATCTTTCACTTGTGTCTGCTTGGGTGTTGTAATAAACTGCTGCTTCCTCCCTGCCTCCCTCTCCCTTGAAACTCAGACTCTACACAGCACAGCCCTCCTACCTGTTCGCGTATGAAGCCAGCTGTTTTGGAGATTTCTTACCCTGGTAGAAAGGTAGCAAAGAAGAAAAGAATCTGTATTACTAAAAAGGCTCAAACTTTCCCACAGCCCTGCTTTACTGTGGCCTAAGTTTACCACAGATTTCCTCCCTTCCACCCACTCTTCCTATTCTGACACTAAAGCACAGCTGCATTAATCTTCCTATAATCTTCCAGCATTTCACAGTAACCTATACATGAACTTAGCTCTACCACAGCGGTCCCTGGAGCACCATAGTCAGCTGTAGGCTCAAGGTATCTTTGGCAAGAGGTGGGGTTGTGACATCAGGCAGATTCTTTGGTTATTACCAAACTAAAAACTGTGATTGATTTAAAAAGTCCACTGGCATTTGATGGCAAAATTGCATTACTTATCTCACATATACGTTTAAAGGCCCATAATACAGTTAATTCTAGTGTTGGGAATGATGACAGCAGAACATTTCCCCACCAAAACACAACAACAAATAATCAAGACTGACACCAGCTTGATTATCCTGCATTCATTCATATGAAACAGATTAGCACCCTGACACCAATTAGGCTGCACAGAATAGTGACATCCTAGAGGAATCACAAAATTCATTCAAGGCTGTGCCACATAGTCTGTGCAAGTCTTTGAAAATTAAACAATACAACTTGAAGATGAATTTCCAAAGCCTTTTCTTCCATACAGTATAGTCTTCAATCTTTTAGAGCTTGACATAAAAATGATGAGTTGAATCGTGACACTCTAGTCTACTCTTTTTCACTAGTAATCAACGTATTAAAAATAAAAAAGCACTACAATGCCCAAGTTAGAAATATGTATTTCCACAGAAACACGTACTATGGTCATACACTGCAGGCATTTAAACTCAAAAATTTCCAGTACTGTTAACATTCACGTCATGCACATCAGCAAAACAATGTTACAATCTTTTGTATTAATAAAAAGTCTTAAAATCATGTGGGTTTTAATACACAATTCCAACAAGTAAAGAGACACAGAGGATACTGACATCTTCACCACTGCTAGAAGTGATCTTACAGCAATGTTTACTGCCCTAGTGCTTCCTCCATACTCCACTGTGGCACTCTTCAGCCAGTAACACCAGTAAGAAGCTATGAGAAAACATTTCTGACTGGCTAGAATCCAGCGAAAGTACAGGTGTTACCAGACAATGTGATAGATCAAGCCGTATGGTAACAAAATGACAGGTCCATTTAAATGCAGGTATTTCACATACCCCAACTGTCACTTGTGTCATGTAACTCTCCTGCCAGTATCTTAGTGACACAGCTCCTCTCCTGAAGCAGTTCTTGGCTAGACTGCAGAAAAGCAGGCATGAGTAAAACCTTATTAGCACCAACTGCTCAGGAGGACAAGACGATGCATATATGTGTGCAGCCACTGCCTGTGCCCACTGTAATGCACAGTTTTCTTAATAAAACTGCTGTTCAAGCTAAAATTCTATTGCACATCTAAACGTAAAATGTCCCAAAGTGCTGTGCTTCTAAAACTAGCTTTAGAGTGCTCAGAACTATGAACTTGTTTGAATGTTTACTTGAATTTCATCAGAGGATGCAAAAACCCCCAAACCCACCAGGCAGCAAAGCTTACCTCCTTCATGTTCTTTTTAGTGGAAGAAGAGATTCTTTTTCTAGGGAGATCAATGGGATGACCTTCAATATGTAATACTTTCTGTTTTCTAACATTGTGGGCTTCAGATGCCATAATCTCTCAAATCCCTGTTTTTGAAGGAAAAATATTTAGTTACAGTTTCTAAAACATTCAGTCAGCTTCCTTCAAATGCAGCTGGCAGAATCTGTTAAAAGAGTTCACAGGATGTTTCATCATATAAATAATCCAAGACACCATCCTTTAGCAAATGGTACCTGGAGGCCTTATCATTAGTAACATGCTAATGAGCACTTGAAAACTCCTCTTTAGTTTTCCAAAACAAGGAAAAAAACCCAAGCCTCTCCCCAAAGAAACCAAGGCAGAGATCTCACTTTCACAACAGCTTAATATACCTGCACTTAAGGGTGCCATACAAACAAGACATGAAGAACAAAGCAATTTATAAGACTCTCTCCTCAACATCTCACACTGAATTTCATCTGCCATCTAAAGAATTAGTCCCACAACTGTTTCCAAGTGAGGAAAGGCACCAAAAGAAAAACAATCCCTGTTTTTCAGAAAGAAGGTAAAGTTTATCGAAATAGCAAAGGTTAAAAAAAAGTGAAATATCTCCTCTTAATTTTATTGGCAAATCTGTCCCCTCTCCATTTTTCTCAGGATATAACTTTGGCTATTTTTCATATTCAAAAAAATTAATAAATTCTTATTCCACAGTTAACCAATAAGAAATTGTCTAAGGTACTTTGTCTTGAGGTATGCAAATATTTCTACAAAAAAAAAAAATCAAACCTAAGACTGAGACAGTAGTACACATGGTTTGCATCTTAAGCAACTCTGAAAAGCCATTGCTTGAGACTGGATTCAAAAAACAACATCTTCATGGAGCACTTGTCTTAAAATGTTTTAGTAAGACATCCTACCTTACTTTTAGAAGCCAACTACTTGCTCTCATTTTATTTTCCTCTAGTCCCAACATGAGTGCCCCAATCTTTCCATCTTCAGTACCAACAGTCCTATATCTTTTCCTCCGTGTAGATTTATCCCACATTAAGACCTTCAGTATTTAAACCACTAAGACACTGAGCACTGAAAAAGCCAGATGGGAAACAGCTTATTAGTCACAGAAGATCTTGCAATGCAGTAGCTAAAGGCCATCAAATAAAACTAACAGGTGGCAGGCTCAAAATAAAGTAGGTGTGTTCTTCACATGGCCCACATTAAATTCCATACTGTAGGATACAATAGAAGCAAAAAAATTACATAATTCTTCAAATGCTTCAGTTTTCTTTAGAACAGGATCACTACTAAAAGAACCTCATTTGAGATCTCTCAAAAAAAGGAATATCTGCTGACAGAAATCCTTATCCTGTACAATGGGAACATGGAGCCCTCAGACCAACGACTTTGACAAGCCCTGCAAATGGCAGCATTAATTAGGGCAATATCTGTAACAGTTGGTGATCCACACTTTTCCAGACACAAGGCTGGCTTAAGACTGGTTCATTAACTTGACTCTTCTCCTGCAGTACTATAGGATTGTGACAACTACACTACAGAATAACTGTCACCCTGTGAGCTATCCACACTTCCAAGGCTTCCAGTCATCAGGCTTATAATAAACAGTTAAAAAGGATTTTTTCCTGAAGTTTAGAAGAAACCACAAGAACAAACAACTTCTCTGCTTGAGACTGGTTAAAATAATTATTTGGACTCAAAATAGACTGTACATTAAAAGTGGAACTTGAAGCACAACACAAACAACAGAACTTTGAAGAATAGCACAACCCAACAACCCTGACATCCAAACAAATCCAGCCTTATGTTCAGGCTAACAATAAAGTCACAAAGTTAGGAAGACTTAAAAATTTTTTGCATTCCTTGTTTGGGAATGTTTCTGAGGGGAAATCGATAAACTCCAGAAAAATAAGAAGGACTGTCAGACCTCTTACAATCATCCCATCAGATGCTAAAAGAACCCACAACAAACCTCTGTTCTTGAAGAATCATTTTTGCAACTACTGCCTTGATACACTGAGAGCTTACAACTCGTCATGCAGAAGAGTGACCTCTCCTTACTTGCTTAAAAAACAACCTCAAACTACCCTCCTCTCTCATGCTAAGCAGCAAGCAAGAATCTGATCACTAATACACAAGACAGCACTGTTAAACCAGAACGCTTTTTACTTAACAGAAGTGCAAAATGGGAGAAGGCTAGAAAGAAATGTCTTAGCAAGGAAATCCATTAGTACATCACTGTTCAATATTGGGCTGCAAAAAACCTAATATAATATCTCAAAATACCTGAACTGGGGGAAGTTCCCTACAAATGCTGAATATGTGCAAGTGAAAAACAAAGATAAATTACACACACTGACAAATTTGATATAAGAAGATAATAATGCTCCCTAGCCTCTCACTTGAAATAGGGAAAGGTAACAAAACTATAAATTCTTTCTTTAATGTCTGGGAACAGAAGTCCCAAAGGCCAACAGATGATTAGATAGAAAGGAATATCTGACAAAGTGAAGTAAAATGTCAGTAAAATCCTTACATCTGTGTTCATTGTCTGACAATTTAGAGAGGTTTCCATAGCTTAACCTGTTTTGTGGGGGTCTCTGATGATGCAGAAGCCACAGCGAACACGCAAGCAGTAATGAAACAGCTGCATTGTTAGCCAAGGTGCAGAACCTCTCCCTTAGAGCTGACAAAGCACCTGGAGGAATCACGGGTACAAAATACAGTCAGTATTTAAAGAGCCTCAGGGAAGATCCAGACTCACATCTCTGTTGTGCAAATTAGTAAACAATGTAATCAAGAATAGAATTAGTGGGCACAAACAAATAATATATTGGGAAAGATTCAACCTGAGTGTTGTGTAGGCAAGTCCTGCCCTGCAAAATTAATGGAGTTCATTGAGAGTATTAAGTAGTACAACATCGATAAAGGACAGCTTAACAATAGAGTCTACCTGAGATTCCAAAAAGCTTCCAGCAGTCCCTCACTTAAATCTCTTGAGCAAGCTAAGCAACCAAGTGATAAGGAGGAAAGTTTTTGCATGGAGAAAGAGCTACAAAATAGTCATAAACTGTCTAAGCGGTTCCCCCACTGAAGAAGGCCACCATAGGAATCCTGCAGGAAACGTGCTTCGGTTTACGCTGTTCGGTATATTCATAGATTGCTTCACAAAGCAGATAAGTAGTTAAAAGACCACTGACAACATTAAGTTTTACCAGACACTCAAGATGAGGGCTAACTCAAGAATTAGAGGGCAGTGATGTACAATAAGCAGAAGCAATGATTAGAGACTAACATAAAGCAAAGCCTGTGTGTCTGCAGGCAGGAGTTCCCATACAGAAACACAGGCTCCAAGCTAATAATTGGCACCCACAACAGTATCCAGATAAATGACAGTTTAGTTTAGATCACTTGGATTGCTCAGTGCTCCGTATGGATCAACAAATAGAAGAGTAAACAAAACACTGTTGTGACAGCATATAGAATTAATTTGTGCTTGTATTTCAAATACTGAGTGCAGGCTTAGCCCTTCAAAAAAAAAATAAATCCCCAAAGCTGAAAAGACTTGTCACAAACTACAAAAGAGCTCAAAGGCAAGTTAAAAAAAGTAAGAAATACCTTCCACATAACAAATAACTGACTAGATCAGGCCTTTTTAGTCTGGAGAGGAGGCTACTTAATAGTAGAGATGGGAAATAAGACCAAGGCCTGCAAAATGAATGGCACAGAAAAGTTGCCTAGAGATTGTTCATTGCATTGTCCAAGAGAAGAAGGAAAGGCCAAAAGTCACTACCTGAAGGCAGTTTCAAAACACAAAAGGGGAGGATTCTGTGCAAATGATAATCAAGCTGAACTTGCCACAGAATATTGTGGACCCAAATGCTTACATGGGTTCTGAGGTAGACTGTGCAGGTTCATAAAAAAAGAAATACACTGGAAGTGATTTAAGTACAGAAACACAATCCAGGTAGCCCTGAGAAAGAAGCCTCTGGTACATCCAAACCTAGCACAGCTATAATAAACTTAGTACGCATCTCAAGAAATCTACTACCAAAGGCTTACTAAGTTATGCTAAAATGTTAGCTGCCAGCAATTAGAGACATGAATGGTAGAAGATGAAAGGCATTTTACAGTTCTCTCAAAAACTTTCATTTCCTGTCTGATATCAGATATCATCATCTAGGGATAGCTAATTAGACACTACCACCCACTTATTTTTAGGATATATACAGAGGATTTTTAAACTGGCATTAGATACTAAATAGTACAGGATCAAACAACCTGTATCATAATGTCCTGATTTTTTGATTATTCCCTTGAGATGAGCACAGCTATTTGTATTTGTTCAGAATAATCTGTTATACCATCTCATTAAGGCCAATGCAACTCCTCTGCTCTACAAAATTGTAAAAATAAACTAAGGATAGAATGCAAGTCCCTTCAGCTCTGCCTTAGCCCTTCATCACACAAGCCTAAACTGCCTCACAACTGTAACAAAGCAGACTGTAAATCCGATCAGAGGTGCACAATTTCATTAACATGACAGGCTCAGGGTCCACCAACTCCTTCCAGCCCATGGATGACTTCCCACAGCAGATGCCAACCTTCCTTCCTTCCCCTTTCACTCTCCTCAATTTCCAGGTAACAGAGAGACCAGAGTAAAAGCAGTCAATAGACAGTACCTGTGCAAAGTTTTCTTGATGGCTCTGCTGCTGATTTTCTAACTGTGATCACTCACAGATGCAACACAACTCATAAGTCACAGCAGCATCAAAGAACGTCAACACTAAAAGGCTTTCAAGCACGGATCTATGAAAGGCAAGTATTAACAACCCTGCCACTCCCTCCCATCGTCCTGTGCTCTGGGCACGGCCTCCAGTGAGCGACAAACTTTTCTTCGCAAGTTATGTAATCTACACGTGTATTAACATAACATTAATTTCTCACAGGACAGAAACTGGAGTACTTTGCATACCAGCAAAGCAAATGTAAAACAGCTAGATTTCTTCAGTCATCAGCAATACCTTGAAAACAAACATTCCTTCTGCCCTACTCTTTGCCTATATTCGTAACAGCTA